GTGTTGTTCTCCCCGAGGAGGGGAGCACACGTGGACGTGGGAGAGCCATGGGGTCTTGCTCGGTGGCATGGGGAATACCGCCCGTGGAGGTTGTTCTTCCGGCTAGGGGGGGCGCCGAGGACGCTTAGAAGCGTGTCGTCCTGCTTGACAGGGAGTGTATCCTGCCCGTCCGGTGGAGGGCGCGTGCCCGATCAAGCTGCCTCACTTATTGGGCCTTGTGCGTTATTGGGCTGGGCTGCGAGGCTGGGCCCAGGCCAGAACACCTCCATTATTACACATTTCCCTAACACCACATATCTAAAGTACTATATCTCTTCCACCCTAAAAAGACATTTTGATATTTTCACGTATAAGGTATTTTACTCTAGTACTTGTAAAATTGTTTCCAGGTGTGTGAGTGATCCTTCTAAGTAGTGCTATATACAAGAATGTCATAAAAAAATTAACAGATATTTCCTCAAAGCATGTTGAAAAATATGATTCACGAGGCATTGGAAAGTAGTTGGTGCATTGGTTAACCCAAATGGCATGATTAGGCATTCATAATGACAATGGTGGGTTATAATAGCAGTCTTGTGTCTATCATTTGGTTGAATCAAGATTTAGTGATAACCAGATCTCAAATCCAACTTTCAGAAATACTTAGCACCACACAATTCTTCCAGCAACTCATCTACAATACGCATAAGGAAATTATCCCTCACTGTAATGGCATTCAAGGCTCGATAGTCTCCATCTTCCACCCTCTTTTTTCACTAAGACAATATGAGATGAGAATGAGATATTATTAGATTGAATGATTCCTTCATCCAACATTTCTTTGACCATATTTTCAATCTCCTCCTTTTGACTATGAGGATACTGTTGTAAATGTGCCTTAAAACCTTTGTTGATGAAGAGAAAGAAAATATATTTTGCAGATTGCATTTATTGCAAAAATTGGACAAAAAGTCAAAGGAAATAAAATCAGTCGGTGAATAGTGGCACCCGTACGGTAAATAGTACTATCTGTACGGATGAATAGTGACGTCCATACGGTGAATAGTGTTGTCCGTACAGTGAGTAGTGTTTTCGAGTTTTCAGGATTTTTTCGATTCGGTCCATGGATCCATGTGATTTTGGGCTTTGCTTATTGGGTATTTGCTATTATAAATATGTATCTCTTATATGCTTGGTGTTTGACAATCTTAGAGTTTTCACCAACAAGGGAGACCAAGAATTTAAAGGTATAGCATAGGGTTTCAGTTATGCACAAAGAAAACCTTGGATTACACCTTAGGTTTGAATGATTCATATATTGAGAGTTGGAGAGGTAGGAAAACACTTGGGTAGAAAATAGAGTTGTTCTTGGGCGCCTTCAGGGTTGTTCTTAGGAATCTGAAGGCGAAGGTTATTTTCTTGTAACTCATTTGTAATCTCTTGTATCAACTTTTTGAGTATAGTGAATTGGAGACCTGCTCTCTCCCCCAGAGTAGATCGTTTAATCGAACTAGGTAAACAAACCTTCGGTTTTTTCTTGCCTTATTCTGTTATATTATCTGTGTACGAATTATTATTGTTGAAGACCATTTATTTTGGTTGGTATTATTCTTTGCCTCACAAATTGATATTGAATTTTATCGTAATTCACAACAAGATTCACAACAGATACCTATAATGTTTTACTTTGGCATGATTTAAGCCTGGTTTTAAGGGAATAACATGGTTTTGAAGTATTTGTGGTGGTAAATCTTTTGGTGCCTAGAAAATTCCTCTGTAGGTGTATAAGAACATAGCCATTTCAGGTGACATGTTAATCGACATCTTCTCCCAGTGTCATTAGTTGCATGAGTTTGTACTCTCACTATAATGAACACTTCATCAATAATTCTAGTGTTCTGCATCCTTCTTAACTAATGAAACTGAGCTTGCCCCGGTCCCATGCTTGTGTCACCTTGTAGTGCAATGAATTTTCCCTTGTGGAAAAATTTTATGGTCAAAGGTGAGCAGTCTGCCACGTAGGGCCCTAAAATAGCCAACCAAGTTATGCATAGAATCAAATTTTTACCAACTATAGGTAAAAGGTACACATAAGTAAACATTTCATGCTCTTTAATGACAACCAACAATTTTGTCACTATCCCCCCTGCTGTCATAGTTTGTCCATTTCCCACCAACACCTTGAAGTATGGTGATGGTTCCACTGATAATTTTAGAAAATGAGCAATTCTTTGTTGCATAAAGTTATCAGAGGTTCTTCCATCAATTAGTATTTATAATTGGAGTTTGCCAATTTTCCCTATAGACGTATTGTCCCTAGACCGTTGGCCCATTTCATAGCATTTAGGGACATGTGATGTTCTGTATCTGTTTGGTATGGTGTTTTGTGGCTGGTCTGGTGGTTTTATCTCCCCATCTCCCTTCTCCCCATTTCAACTTCTAGTTCATATTGCAATAACATCAAGTGTTTATTTGGACATCTATGGCTAAATGAGAATTTCTCATTGCACCAATAGTACAACCCTTTGTCTTTTCTCAATTAAATCTTAACATGGGTAATTATTTTGATGTTTGGGTTCTTTTGGATAACGTTGATTGGTCTGGTAAGGGGTGTTTGTAATAAGGGTGGGTTGTTTGGTTTTTGGTTGATATCTGGTTTATTTGAATTGAAGAGAGTTCTATTTTGGTATTGAGTGTTTTAGTTTTAAGTTTTTTATGGTTTGGTGGTGGAAATGTACTATAGACTTTGGCTAGGGACACAACTTTCACAATGTTAATAGGAGTGTAAATCACCAAATCTATCCTAGTCTCAGGATTTAAGCCACTGATAAAATAGTCTACCAGAGCATCAGTTCTTAAACCATATTTCTTGATTGCTAATTCAATAAATTGAAGATAATAATCACCCACAATTCCAGTTTGGTTAAGCTTAAACAATGTAGCTCAAGGACAATCATAGATTGAAGGTCCAAAATGCAATTTTAAAGCTCTAGTGAACTCAGCTTAGGAATTAAAATGATGTGATCTATGAATCATTTGAAGCCAAATAACAATATCTTGGTCCAGATAAACAGATGTGATAGTCAATCAATCCTTATTAGGGGTTTCATAATAACTGAATACTTGTTAAGCTCTGAAAATCCATTCCATCACATTTTTTCCATAAAAACGGGAGAAATCGAGCTTGATATTTCTTACCTGAAACAAAGCTTTGTTTGAATTCCCAACACCATGGAAAGAACCATGAGGAGTGTTGGGTAAGAGCTTTTGAAGAGCTTCATTGATCTGATCCATCACTTGATGATTGCACATCCTTTATATGTTGAAAACTAGCATCATTTGCTGCACCAAAAGGCTCAAATTGGATTTGGAAATCATCATACAAGTTTCTAATGTCCTCAACATTCTTTTTAACTTCGACGTTAATTGATTTCATCCTTGTATTTTATACCATGGTGAGATGAAAACACCAATGAAATTATAAATAAATGAACAGGGAGAAACTAGGGAATTGTATTGATTAATATCACCCTCTAAAAATGCATAAGTGAATACAAAGAAGGTATTTGGAGAGAGAGATACTTCACAATTCACTTGATAAACCAAATATCCTTTCACAGTTCTATTTAATACTAGCAATAATGAAATCATTCATTTAGGTGTTAGCCTTACGCACCCTGGTGCTCCTACGCCTTCCCTGAAATTCTAGATCCTACACAATTGAATTCTTCTCTTGCATTCCATGTGAGCCCTTACACACTTGAATTGCTGACTCAACATTCTCTAGGTCCTTCTCCATATTTTGTCTTATTACAAAGAGATTAGAGAAAAAGAGGTGAGATGTACTATCAAAGAAGATGAGAAGAAGATGTCATACTATTACGAGAGATTCGAGGAAGGTGAAACTAAAATTTTAAATGTGAGGAAGAGAACATATTTGTAATCATAAAGTTAAGACATAATAGGTTTAAGTTTGAGTTAGATGTGAGTTAAGTGAAGTTTGAATTGTAATATAATACAACTTGATTTGATTTTATTTAGTTTATGAAATACAAACCACAAACTAAACCCAATGGCATAATATTGTTAAAATATAACTCAAACACATCCAAATCAAATACAATTTTTATAATTTTTAATTTGATTCGATTCGGTTAATTATTTTTTATGAAATGAAATCGATTTTAAACACCCTTAATTTTATAATTATTATATCTATAATCTATAACATGTATAAAGACAAAACATGATATTTTGATGTAACCTATTTCTCTTTCAATTTTACCCTTATTTTATATGTAACTTATTCAATAACTTTCAACATAATTTTTTACTATTAACTTTTTACTTAATTTTTATTTAAAATTAATATTAAATAAAAAATATCATTTAAATTTAAAAAAAAAACGCGTAGATGCATAATTGAAAACGGTATTAATGCTGAAAACAGATACACATGCCAAAATTTCAAAAAGATACAGAAACAACTATTATTAAATAATCACCATAAGAAAAGAAAAGTAAAATACAGCGTTGCCAACTGTCGGTGGACTGTCAAGCCTCTCTTCTCTTCTGTTACGCTTTTTCCTTTCTTCCTATTATTCTCTCTCTAACTATATCTATATATTTTTCTATATATACACTCCATTTTTGAAGACAGCACATGTTAGTGTATCTCAGAGAGAGATAGAGAGAGATTTGAATGCAACAGATGAAATTGCAGTGAGGCAGTTTCCCGGTAAAGCTGGTATCCGTCTCTTATGCTCTTTGTCCCCTCATCGGATCTTGAGTTCCTTCTGTTTACCTCAAAGGTATTTTCACTTTTTCTCACAATAAAACCTTCTCTCAGTTTCTCTACTTTCGTTCATTCTAGATTCTGTAATATGTTGCATTCATTGTATATTTGTATTTGAATTCGGTATTTTTTTTTATGCAGGGTGATTCCATTTCTAAACCTAATTTTGCAGTGTAGGTTAATTTCAATTTTTTTGTTTTATTAGGGTTAGTTTTTAGGGTTTGGAATGGATGATAGTAATGTGAAAGAGGAGTGTGGTGGTGAAGTTGATATTGAAAGTGGATTGGTAATAATTGAAGATGATTCTGGTAATACTAAACAAGGGAGAACATTATTTGAAAAAATTTATTGTGATTTTGTTGGAGATTCTATAAAAAGTGATGATAGAAATAGTGATTTGGGTGGAGTTTCCATGGACATGGTGAAAGTGACAACAGACAAGTTGTTACCGGGGAAAGACTCTGTGAAGAGTGTAGAGAATTGTTTAGTTAAGGAGAAAAGGAAAAAGTCTGGTAACAAAAAAGCGGCGAAACCTCCACGAGCTCCACGTGCACCGTCGTTGGATGCGGCTGACCAGAAGTTAATTAGGGAGATCACTCAACTTGCCATGGTGAAGCGTGCGAGGGTAGAGCGGATGAAGGCGTTGAAGAAGATGAAAGCGGCTAAATCGTTGTCGCCGTCTCCCGGTAGTGGCGTATTTTCGTTGGTTTTGACTGTTGTCTTCTGTATTGTGATCTTAGTTCAAGGTAATATTTGTAGTTAAAGTTGTACTTATGTATTTTTTACTGCAACATGATAGGGATTTTGGTTTGAGTTGACAATTGATAAATGATATAATGATAATACTGTTGCTAGTGGTTGATTTGGATATTGTTTTGCCACCTATGGCTGTGGCTATTGCGAACGAATCGAATAAGATGATTCTATCTCTCGATCTTTTCGACCTTGGTGTTCATTTTTAAGGTGTTCTCTTTGCAGGCATGTCAGCATCATCTGGAAAGAGTTCAGTAACAAGTTTCCAGGGGTCTCCTGTATCTGCAGAAGGAGCTGAGGCTGGTCTTATCGCAGTTCAACTTCAACACCACTTGAATCCATCTTCAATTGAACATCGTGCACCTTTAGAGTCTCACAAGTAAGTCGAGATTCACACCTTTCATTGAACCTCCTTTGGCAGCATATTTAAAAAAAAACAAAACCTTGATGTGGAGACCTGATTCTAATATCCTTATTCTTACTTATGGTATCTTGCAGAATTGTTCATGTTTCATATTTGCCTAGAAAGCTGAGATGAGATGAAGATTAGTACAGATTTCCTGACAAAAATAAAGACGGTTTTATGGCCTGTCATCCTGTGTATTTCTAGATAGAACATTATCACAGAAGTTGATCCATGTAGCCGACTCCTAAGATAAGGCTTGTTGTCCCCCCGAAGTGTATAGATATTACCCAATGATGGGGTGAAGTTATATTCCCTTCCTTGATTCCTTGAAGTTTAGGCTTGTAGAAAATTTTGCTTTTGAAGCTTTATATGACTCTGTAATTTGCAACCACCTAATAATTTTGTATCAATGTCTATCATTTTCAATTGTGAAGGAAAAGGTGAATGCCTTTTATGTAATGTTGTTACCTGTTTCTTTCTTTGTTAGTTTTTCTTTATATCTCCTCTTCTAAGACTCGTGAAACTCTGTTAAAGTTTAATTTGACAACTGTTGGGAAACATGATAAGATTCATCATGTAAAGAGACTATACTGCTTTTGGGAGAAAGGAGTCCATGGTTATTTGTGTGAGCTTCTGCATACTAATATTTAGATTTTGTTTGAAAGTTATGGAAAAGCAGACATGGTTTTGAATTTGAGGGGAAAATCTCCACATTGTATGGAGACTTTTTTATGATTAAACTTTTCAAATTTGGTGAAAATGCAAATATAATTTGAGAATGACTTGGGATTTATTTTTTCAATTTTTTTTCCAAATCTCTTAGGATGTGTTGATTTGAGGTATAAAAGTTATATTTCTAGAGGGGGATAAAATAAAAATATTCTAACCTTAGTAGAAAGAAATAAAAATAACAAGTTTGGGAATAAATGATACCCAAGAATTTACTTGACCCATTTTTTAATATTAAATTTTACAAACAGAATCCGTATTAAGGCGGAAAAAAACTCAAAATTTGTTAAGATTAAAACATGACTAAGTAGGATTTTAAAAAAGATTCTTTGAGAGTGTATACCGCGGAAAAAAAATTCAAAATAAAAATTACATCATTAAATCATAATTAAATAGAGTTTTTATTTATTTTGTCATGATTAACTAAAATTTATACAAAATTTTCAAAAACTTGAAACCATCCTACTTATGAGAGGAGGGTGTGAACTAATTTTAAAAGTATTTATTTCATGGATTCAAATCTTATTTTCACGAAGAAATGTGAAGTTGAAAATCTCATATTCTTTTATTTTAAATTTTATTAAATTATATCCAAGTGTTTTTTTTTTATTTCTAAGAATATAATTTACTTATAAATTTTTTATTTTTTATTTTCACAGAAAAAAAGTAAGAATCTTACATTCTTACAAGAATAACAAGTAAACATTTATAATCTTTCACTCCAAATTATTTTAATTCTACTATATTTTCTTAAATTTGTAAATTAAATACTTTTTATAAATATATATGAAAAAATCAATTGCTCACCAAACATATAGATAGAAATTAAATTAAATTCCTAGAAATAATATTTCTAGAATTATAATCCTTTAGACAAACATACCTGTATTAACGCCTTTGATGAGAGTATTAGGCAGAAGTCTTGAATGAAATTATTTGTCCACACACATACTTTTCTGTTCAAGAAATAAATGAAGATTGGATGAAATAGAGTTAATAAATGAAGATTGGATGAAATAGAGTTTTAATGTAGTGGAGTGAACTTCTGATACAAAATAGCGTGGATGTATATGTAAGGTTAACATTCCAACGCTCAAGTCAGTGAATGATTAAGTAAATAATTTTGGAGTGTGTTTTCGAGAGTATCTGAAATCACATATTTTAGGATTTATGTAATATGGATGGTTAAAATCGTCCATGTGAAATCTGACGCCTTACACGAGGGTCTTCCGATTATATTTGACGGGGGATGATCCTTTGAGAACTAGGATTAAATGCAGGTCTTGTGGTACTTTGAGTCCTTAATTCTTCGAGTGTGCGCGTTCTTAGATTGTGCCTTATCATGATTGGAGTTTTTGCCTTTGGACTTATGGTCGGTCGAGAACACTTATCCCTAAGGCCTGACATTGCGTAGTAATGGAAAGACTTAAAAACTACAAAATCTTTGTTCCCTTCGATTGTGGTCTTTGTGGTAGATTTCTATCTTGAAGAAGTGGAAAGGTTTAGAGAGTGAAAGCGAGTGAATTTGAGAACAAGTACATTAAATTCATACCTTGTTGGTGAAACATTTTGCAAAATTGTTCTGACATGTGGCCCTAGATCCCTAGGTTAGGATTTGACATTGCTCTTCAGGGTACTTCAATGTACTCAAGTTTGTTGTGATCTCGAGGAGAATTTGTCCGTTGATGTTTTTCTAACTACCTTCCTCCATTCTAGGCCATCAATTTGTCTATTTTACTTTTTACTATATAAACGTGGTTTTCTCCTTTTCGGGTTAGGTTTCACCCATTGGGAAAATTGTATTTTACCTTACTTTCCAATTCCGGTGTTTCCTCCTTGAACTCTGGTGATATCTTGCTCTTGACCGTTTATTTTCTTTGTTGGATTTTAAACTCCTTGTCTCTTGAGTTCTATTTAGTTTTTTCATCATTGACTTGTCTTATCATCTCCAGTTTTTTTCAGATACCATATTTCTCCCTCTTGTTCATTATTTCCCTCTAGGCAGATATTCACCCTCTTGTTAATCTCATAGTCCTTAGTAATAAGTATGAGTCCATGGGGGTTCTATAGAAAGTGGTAGTGAACCCCTAAGTATTCAGTTGGGTGGAAATACAAATGAGCTCATATAAAGAGTTAGATGGGAGTCTTGGATCGTCCCATTATGGAGAAGTCGATCCTGGTCCCTCCTCCTTCGCTTTTCTCATGAAAAATCATAAGTCTTTTAGGCATATTAGGAAGATTTGAGGGTTTGTTCTTACATAAAAACATTTAGGCCTTTGAATGATCAGGAACCCATCGACAAAAAAGTTAGGGAACATCTTGATCTTCTGGGTCATTCTAGAATTTACAATAAACATTTTATTTTTGTTGACAGTGGGGTAGAAATGGTTTAAAAGGACCATAAAAGTCTTGTCTTGCCCACAAACGTTGCCCAATATTTTTGGGTGAAGGTGGAATTGGTAGAGAAAGCTTATATTTTTTTGGCAATTCTCAAAGTTTATATGACGCCTACTAGGATGTGATGCCATCCTCTGATTGGATTGTTTCTCACGTCAAGCTCGACAAGAGATTGTGTACCTCTTTTGACAGATGTTCGGTTCCTTTCCATGAATTTATGTTTTCCAGACTGAGATTTAAGTCTCCTTTTAAAGAATTTGATGTGGGGGTGTTGAATCACTTGAGAATCATTACCTTTCAATTGCACTCGATAACTTAGGCTTTTCGTGAAGATGTTCCAAAATTGGTGCGAGTACCAAAATGGAGTGCCAACTTTAAAGTTATTTTTCAACATCTTTAACGTGACACGTATTTCTGCTAATGCAGAGCGGGGGCAAGGGTTGCTCTCTCTTTTTTTAGCCAGAGAAGGTGCTCGACGTTTATATTGACCATTGAAATAATTTCAAAGATCATTACTTCTTGGTTGTCTTTCAGAGTCAAGAGGCCATTCTAGCTTTTGTGTTATTCCAAAAGGTGACCCTAATCCTTCCGCCTCCCTAGTTTGGATTCGACTTGATGTGGGAATAGATTCCAGAGAGGAATGATTCACGACCATTTCTTTCAGACTTAGGACTAGTATTCATTCCCATCAGACTCTCTGAACCCAGAAGAGGTATAATTGACATTCTTTCCCTACTATATGATATTATTGGCTTCGTCTCTCTTATGAGCAAAGTGATAGTGGTGACAAACTATATGAGTAGCAATGTAACAGTGACATCTTGCAAAGAAGAGTGAGTTGACAAAATGAGTTGATTTTGGAATACAAAGAAGACAAAAGAGAGGTTTGAGTTGAAATTGGGATTTTAAGTTGAGAAATTATTTTAGAATGAATGTGTGTAACTGTGATTTGATAATTGTTTATTTGTGTTCATAGATAATTTGGTAGTGTGTAGCCGAAGCATGTTGTGTCTTGTTGGTGAAAGGGTAGAGGAAAAATGAGGAGGGAGTTTACTTGTGTAATGATGAGGAGAAACGAACGAGAAAAATAACTTTAAGTGATAGTTGTTTGGTGGCTTCACATATGCCAACTAGACAATAGAGCCGACGAGTTTCATAATGTGTAATTATCATCTAGATAGAAAAAGAAATAGGTGACGAGAACAATATAAGCTTTTGGTGCAATTGGTGGATTTGTAGGGGGAAACTTAAAAATGTTTTTTTTAAAATTTATTCTGTTTGTCCTTAGATAAATCAAAGAAGATTGGCGAGATTATGAGAATAGAAAATGGAGTGAGAGAGTGGACATTGTCGTGGAATAGAGATTTGAATGAGGAAGAAAGAGAATCCTTACATGAGATGATAAAATTAGTAGAAAGTGTTGAGTTGAAAGAAGGTGTGAAAGTAAATAGGCATGGATAGAAGGGAGCTCAAATGTATATATTGTCAAAGAAACTCACAAAGTCCTAATATCCAAGTTACCTTATGAGTCTAACTGAAACCTCTCTAGAGCTTGGCATAAATCAATTCCCTCAAAGGTGTTAATGTTGGTGTGGAAAGTCTTTCAAGATAGAATTTCCACTAAAATTAACCTAACTATGAGAGAAATACTTAGCCAAGAGAATATTTGATGCATTAGTGGTTGTGGAGAGGAAGAATCGACGTCACATCTTTTTTTAGTGTCCAATTTTTAAAGGTATGTGGAGTAAAGTTTGCAGCTGGTTCGGAGTGTCAACAAAATTACATAATGACGGTATACTGCATTTTAATCAGATAATGGGATTGATAAGCATTGGTAGATCATATTCTCATGGAGTAGTTGTGGTTTGCTTTACTTGCATCTGGAACATTTGGAAGGCAATAAATAGAAAGGCATTTCATAATATCTATATATGTTTGGATAAAATGTTTGAATAAGTGAAGGTGTGGTTTTAGATATGGTTGAACATCAAATCTAATATTTTGGG